ACTTTTTAAAGACATTTAGAGTTATTTTATGGAAGGTAGATTGGTCAAAAGTTTTAAACACCTTTTGAAGTCCTTTATTTATGTATTGCGCAAGCTTGAGCTGGTTTCCATAAGGTGGGCAAACAACCTACCCTGAGAGAATGATAAAAATATTCGATAGTTTTATAATAGTTGACTCTTGATATCGTTTCAACGCTTCACGTTTTACACGATTTGCTTCACTACGCGCTACCTTTACTTATTAAAGTCATTTTTAGTTCGCTAAAATATTTTAAAATATCCATCTCTTTTCCTAAACGTTCTACGTACTTCATTCGTTAATCACGGTTACAGAGTGAAGCTATCACCTCATAATAAGCCACCAAACGGGCTTTATCCACAAATATTACATCTAGAATATGAGTGTTCAGTGAAATGAACATTGTTTTCTTGGCATTTGCAGCATTGTTGGATTGTTTCATTTAATTTGCGTTGTTTTATTGTTTCTTGTATTGTTTCTTGCACCTCATTGTTGTCCTATTGCATTGTTTTTTGAACCTTTCCTTGTTTCTGACCCCTTGTATTGTTTCTGGTTTCTGGCACATTGCGTTATTTTTTGCCTTTTGCATTGCTTCTTGCATTCCAATTGTTTTTGGCCCCTTGTATTGTTTTTGGCAGCTTGCGTTGTATTTTTGCCCCTTGAATAGTTTCTAGCACCTTCCGTTGTTTGTTTACCCTTGACTGGTTTCTTGCACCTTGCATTGTCACTGGCCTCATGCATTGTTTCTGGCCCCCTGAATTTTTTCTGGCACCTTGCATTGTTCCTGGCCTCTTGAATTGTTTCTTTCACCTTGCTTTGTTTCTGACCTCATGCGTTGTTTCTGGCCTCATGCATTGTTTCTGGCCATTTTAATTGTTTCTGGCACATTGCGTTGTTTCTTGCCCCTTGATTTGTTCTTGCACCGTGCCTGTTCCTGGCATTATTTTTGGCCCCTTGTATTGTTTTTGGCATGTTGCGTTGTTTTTTGCCCCTTGAATAGTTTCTAGCACCTTGCGTTGTTGTTTTACCCTTGAATGGTTTCTTTCACCTTGCATTGTTACTGACCTCATTCATTGTTTCTGGCCATTTGAATTGTTTCTGGCACATTGCGTTGTGTCTTGCCCCTTGATTTGTTTTTGCACCTTGCATTGTTTTTGTCCCCTTGCATTGTTTCTTGCACCTAGTGTTGTTTTTGGACCCTTAACTAGTTTTGTCCACTTGCGCTGTTTTCGGCCCCTTGCGTTGTTTCTGGCAACCTTGCATTGTTGCTGGCCTCCTGCATTATTTCTTGCACCTAACATTGTTTCTGGCCCTTTGAAAAGTGTCTGGCCCTTAAATTAATTTGGATCCATTAAACTGTTTCTGGCACCTTGTATGTTTTTTGTCATTTTTCATCGTTTCCTGCTCCTTGCATTGTTCTTGCACCTTCCTTTTGTTAGCCTCTTGCATTGTTTCTTACACAATGCATTATTTCTGACCTATTGCATTGTTTCATGCACTTTGCATTGTTTCTAGTACATTGTGTTGCTTTTTGACCTCTTGCATTGTTTTTTTTTCATCTTTCTTTTGGCCCTTTTCATTGTTTCTAGTTCCTAGCGTTGTTATTGGCCTCTTGCATTGTTTAATGCACCTTCCTTTATTTATCTGTCATCTTGCGTTGTGTTTTGCCCGATGAATTGTTTCTGGTCTCTTGCATTGTTTCGTGCCCTTTCATTTTTTCTGACCTCTTGCAATGTTTTTGGAATCCAAAGCCAAATCGAAACCGTTTTTTTATATTGCCTACTCGTCAATATCTAAGATATTTTTGTCTTTACGTTTCATTTGTCATTTGTCTAATGATCATATAAGGTCCCCAATGAACGCTTTAATGTGCGCGCTACATTAATCTTTCTTTAATCCATACTTACAAACCTAAAGAAAATATTTAGGAATGATTGACGTTTTTTTTATCTGAAGCTGTAAAGCTGATGTGCCATTACGGGGACCACATTAGTAATTTATTAGAAAAACTTTCATTTATTTTCCAATAAATTTCCAATGCTAAATTATGGTCAAAGTTAAATAAAAAAAAACGAATCTATTCCTTTAACAAATTTGACACAAATGACTTTGAAAGTCTCTCTCAGGGTAATTCAGTTGAACACATTTGTTAGCCCTAAATTCCAGCCAACTACTGGTATGTCCCTGTGACTTTTAACTGTCGATAAGAAACAGTTTAAGGATTCGACCCCTTCGACCTCCAAATTGGATGAAGGTCATACGTTTATTTTAGTTTATTTACTATTCAGAAGAGATCAGTAAACGATTTTAGCAAATTTGACCCATGTGACCTTGAATACTATGATAGGTCATTCCTTTAAAAAAAAAGACAACCCTTCATTCTACTATCCAGCTTGCCAAATTTCAACAATTTTTTGAAACTTTGGTTATCCAGCAGAAGTATTTAAAAAAAAATATAACACATTTGACCCGTGTGACCTTGAAAGTTGGTCAAAGTCATTGGTGATCATATCAACAAACTTGATAGGCCGCAATGATAAACTCCATGACAGTTAAGTCATTATAAATTGAGTATTTTCCTCATTTAGCGGCCACTTTTTTTTTTTTTTTTTTTTTTTAGGAACCCATGTGTAAATGTGTACATGTGTACCATTACATGTACTGGCGTCAAGTATAGCAACTGATATAAGTAAGAGTATATATCAGTCGTGTGAGGTATGACTATATAATATGAAATGTTTGATTGTAATTATACCATATATTGCAAAAAAAACTTGAATAAAAAGAAAATTACAAAACAAATAACATTTTTATTTCATTTTTTTTTTTGATAAATTGTGGTTCATTTACATCAGAAGTAATACAAAATGGTTGAAAATATATTATATCCCTCGTGTTATAGTTGTGTTGGTGATTGTTTAGCAAAGTACACCGACTAATCGTTACTTAATATGCTGCAATAAAGTGTAAACATTAAGCTATTCGACACCTTTTGTGTCGAATGTCACGTCCCTGCGCTAAATAATCGCAAATATTCATTCCTTAAAATGTCTCCATCGAAAACATTTAATCCGTATAAAATCGTTTTGTTTTTATTTTTCGTCAAAATCGCGATAATTAAGGCCCGCGTACCTATCCCATTATTATTTTCAATGTACCACGTACCTCCAATATAAAGTTTATGTTTATAAGATCATAGGTCAATCAGACTATGAATATCTGTCAATTTTACAAACCTATTTTGACACATCTTTTAACAATTGTAAGGCATAGCAAACTCAAAACGTTGCTCAGCAAAGGTCACGAACAAAATCCATAATTTCTTTTGATCAAAGTTTAAACCTCAAAATAGTACGTTACAGGTTACAATTTAGATTGAAGCAATGGAAATCGATATCGATTGAACAAGCAGCACATCATATTATAATCAGATTCTTGAATTTGCAAAGAAACTAATGAAATGCACACATAACAAATATAAATATATCTTACTGTAAAAACTTATAAACCTTGTGATACCTTTACCTTACCGGAACGATATACGTTGTTTTCAACACCGACGTTTCTATTATAGTCCAATGTCAAGAACTAGTCTAAATGAAATAAGATTATTTCTCTATACCATGTAAGAATATATTTCCATTCCATTTATTCTTCTCGGACTTCTTGTATAATATTATTAGTAACTTAAAACGCAAACTAATCAATGTAATAGTAACGCAAAACTAGATTATGCCACGACAATTGAGAAAAAATGCAAGAGACATGAACATTCATAAAGTCATCTCATCTCCATCATTGCTTGTCCATGTGGCTTGCGTAATAAAATGCAAAATAATGTTTTCTTCTTTATTCCAAACTGCTCATTTTTAAGAAAATATGTTTACAACTCTGTTGATTAAGATTTATTATAATCTGCCGATGTCTGATAACACAACGTTACCAGTGGATGTAATTGCATTCATAACTCTTTGAGTGCAACTGAAAATAATAAAGATTATAATCTTAACCGAGTCTGTGTACAACATTCACTTATAATCTTAATGCATGGTAGCATCTAAGTCCTTGCCTTTGATTATAATTTGTATCCAATTTTCCGCACATTTCTACGATGAGGTGCCTCTACGTGTAAGGAAGTTTGATTTAGTATTTTCAAGTTTTCGTAGTTTTCAAACAGACATATTTCAGCGATAGTCTCATTTTAGCGCTTTTCTTGCTGAAAGATAATAATATCCCTTCTTCCGCACCAAACGGTGTTTACATGTCGCACTTGATGCACCTTAAAAAGATATTTCTCTGAATATCATGATTCTCATGTATGAGTTCAAAGTAACAACTAACAGCACAAGATTGCGAAAGTTCCATGTTGATGAAAACTACGGGCAAAGTTTAAGTGTTTCTGTCATGATTATTTTTGGAAATATGTTATTTGCATGTGTGATCTGAAGTTTGGTGTCTTTAATAATACTTATTATATATCGGTGTCGCTTTGAAGACGTGTTGCTTGGATTTGACCTAAATTTATATGGTCGGTGTCGTTGATACAGCAAAAGACGCTTACTCTTGCGAACCAGATGGTATTGTCGTCCTTATACTTTTTGAATTGTCTCCATTTAATTTATATAGTATCGTACTAACATTGTTTTTGAGTTGGAACTGATTTTGTCATAACATTTCATTCAAGGAGATATGAGAGCTTGTTGCGAGGTTGTCGTCTACCTTGTAGCCAATGTTTTATACATTACACGTGTGGATTGTATATTGATTTTTAATGTTGACAATATTTGTAAATGAAGATACAGCGAAGTTCAATGATGGATAACTTGAAATTTGTCAATTGTGATTAATAAAGCAGTTTGTGCAGAACCTATTGTGATTATATGAACTTCAGTTATTGCCACGGTCTATCCTATGGTTATTTAGTGTTATATTACTTCGGGATAGAAATTCACCTGGATTACATGATTTGTCTTTTTTTTAGACTCAAGATGGCGTCCGTACTAAGGATGAGCTTCATGAGTGTGTTTTTAGCTACCTGCCTTGTGCCAATAGGTGCGTCACTACCGGGATTTGCAGGATTTCCCAAGTATGCTGCCATCCGAAGCATGATCACCCACTCAATTAACAAGGCGATGCAGGAACTTGCGATCACTAAACAACTGGAAAAACAATACTTACTTTCAGGTACATAACGAGTGATGGAATTGCATATATACTTTTAAGGATAAACCAAGAAATCGTGCGGTGTTCATCAAACAATGATAACCCGCATGTTGTTAATAGATATAAAAAGCTTTCAGCGTCATCTTTTGTTTAACATTCACATGTTCTACATAGTTATACAATTGACGTTATTATCAATGCTATCATTATTGACGTCGAAATGATTAGGAATGGGAATCATTAAGACAATAAGCAGTCGAAACCAAACTACATATATTCTGTTTCAATCAATGTTTTCCTTTACGTTTTTTTTTTTTTTTTTTTTTTTTTTTTTTTTTTTTTTTTTTTAAGCTTTTATTGTGTATAGTTTATACTAATGATTTATGTATTTTAAACCTCTAGAAATATTCAAATGAACCAAGTTCAAATTGTTATGCAGCATAAAGGAACGTTTATACGTTCATATTAAAATACAATTTGATTGAAAACTTGAATCGCCAATTAAAGCCTTTTTCCAGATGATGATACAAACATTTTAAAGATTCATATGCACACACACGTATCAATACAGTACATACACAACATGTAAATAGATATGCAATATATATATTTATTAAGATAGGTAGGAAAAATCTTAAAAATACTAATTTGCTAGAATATTGAAGTATATTCAAAAGCAAAAACAATCAGAACACTTGAGATTTTAACAGATAGAATATAATGTTTGCTTATAGGCACATCCAAAACGACTATGCTAACAAATAACACCAGTTAAGTGTAAATGATATAGAAAATAGGCAAACAACTTTCAGATTTGATATATACAATGTACATTTTGTATTTCAGGACACAAAATTTATTAGAAGAATGTTTCGCAATCAGATCAGGTTGGCAACATACATCAATACAATTCTCTTCAGTAACATCCATCTCTCGAAATCATGTGTTGTTAGCGTGTAGGTTGTCCACAACCATGAACATCTATCAGAAAGCAATTCCGTATTGCAGAGTTATCTTCTCTTGTTAGCAAGTACATGTATTGATTGTTACGTCATTGGTTTGTGTGAGAAAATTATGTCGTATTCCATTTTCAGGGATGAGGGTTGTACCTAGGAAGAGATTCACCCACGCCTATCATACAGCAGATCCCTCTTCTATTACAACGCTTAGCGACAAGAGCTTTATCAGTGTCAAAGCGACGAAAGAACTAGTCCGTCTGTAAGAAATGTATATCACTTTCTTTGAAGTATTAAGTTTTCTTATGATATGACAAAAAATCACATATTCTTCACGATCTTATTGGTAAGATTTAAAACGGTTTTTGATAAAAGACAATCTTTCTATGCTTATCATTTAATGAAACTATTTTACAGGGAAATTCAAATTTTATCGTCGCCCCTGCAGGTTCGAGGGGGGGGGGGGGGGGGGGGTGATATGCCTGCAAAATCCAACAAGGTCGTACCAAGGCGACTAATGAGGGCTCCTGAAGATTTAAGGGGTTCCTTTTCATCTGTATAAGAGACATTACAGAAAGCAATAACAGACCTGCTGTATACCACTGCATTTCATAAGAGGCGACTAATGTGAAAAGTCTTAATAACATTGGGATCACCTAGACGTCTTTTGCTTACGGGACATTGAAGAAAAATATATATAAATGATGGCCCAAACGCTTTCTTCACTCATTGTCAAGATATTCTTCATAAATGATAACAAACTAGTATTAGGGAAATACACAAGAAACCTATTCTTGACCAAGAATTGCGATTCACTTGAGAACACATAATGACGCTTTAATGTCCCCTATCGTTTTTACCGATTTTTATTTATAGAAGATAAATAACAAAACAAAACAGGTAGTATGTCATCCACAAGCTAAATTTGTAAAATATGAAAACAAAATCACACAGTCAATGATCCTTTTTTTACATTCGAGTGCTGATTCCGGGACTTTTATGGGGCCATTTTATGTTTTAGCATCCACTTGAGATGGCAAAATCATTTTCAATGTCATTCTCACAATATTTGACAGAACAAATACGCCACTTTATCTTCTTCAATCTAACCCTGACGTGACCATCGAATGGCAGAGGCAGATTTCTCCACACTGTAATATTCCGGTAGCGCAGTGTAACCAACGCTACATGTATCGAACGACGGAGGGCACTTGTAACAACTTACAAAACACCAAATGGGGATCCTCCATGGCACCGTACCTCCGCTACATACCGGCGGCCTACGATAATGGTATGTTGACCGAGTGGTTGATTAAGTGATTAATTGATTGATTGATATTGATCGATTGTTTCACTGATTGCTTGAATGATTTATTTATTTATTGATTGAAAGGTTTATTGATAGATTAATTGATTAATTGATTAATTGTTTGATTGTTTATTAATTAATTAATTAATTGTTTGTTTGTTAGTTTTATTGATCGGCTGATTCATGGATTGATTGATTAAATTATTGTTTATTGTTTGATTGGTTTATTGATATATTTATTGATTGATTGATGAACTCTTTGATTGAATGGTTGATTGCTTGATTAAGTAATTGATTGAATGATTAATTGATTGATTGATTAATTAATCGGTTGATTAAGTGATTGGTTGATTGTTTGATTAGTTGATTAATTGAATGACTGATTGATTGATGAATTAATTGATTGATTAATTAGTTGATTGATTGATTGATTGAATTGCTTGCTTGCTTGATTGATTGATTTTGCCTTACGTCTTAATTGTGGCTATTACCGAGCCAAAATTAATTGATTGATTAATTAGTTGATTGATTGATTGATTGAATTGCTTGCTTGCTTGCTTGATTGATTTTGCCTTACGTCTTAATTGTGGCTATCACCGAGCCAACAAGTCGAGGAATAACAATAAATTGCAAGCTCTAATGAGATTAAGACCGACATAACAATAGGGGAGACCGGTTTTTTTTTTGTTTTTTGTTTTTTTGTTTTTTTGTTGTTTTTTTGTATTGAAGTCCGTTGTAGGAAGTATGACAGCACGTCCGTTTTTGAACATTATTTCACTTTGGATGGCCGAAAGAGCCCAAGCCATGGCGTAAGTTCGGATAGGCATTCGAGTAAGTTCCGCCCCATTGGGTCAGCTTAATTATGACGTCTAAAAGCATACAACATCAGATTTTACTGCCAATTTTACGACGTTTTATGTGTTGCTAAAACTACATGGGCCGACCTTGCTTTGGTATTTTTGGCCAAACCTATTCAGGCCCAAATTTATATTTCAATAAAATTCTTATCGTACATCAATATGGTAGCGAGTGATTGGATTGGCTTTTATGTATTATCATTTGAAGATAACAGTGTGTTACACGTTTGACTGTAAAAAAAGTAGCAATTCCGTTTCAAAAAGTTCGCATAACTAGAAGCGAGATCATGATTTTCTTTCTACCCTCTGAAAAGTATTTTTCTCCTGTTAAGTGATTTTACATTAGAGTTTTCCTGGCCATTTGTTTTTTGTTTAATGCCAACCCAACTAAATTGCTAAGATTCTTAAAGATGTAAATATTAGCTCAAAAACAAAAATATCAGGGGTGGCCGAACTTGCCCCGGTTTACCGTATGTAGATTTTTGTATCATTGATGATTGGTTAAAATGTATTCACAATATATTTTTAACATCAATAAAGCCCTTTTCTTCCAGTCAAAGCTAAAGTAGATGTTTGTTCTTGTGCGTAACGTATATGATGGGTCGGGTGGCGCAGTGGATAGCGCGCTCGTCTTCACCAAGATGGCCGGATTCAATCCCGGTCCCCTGCCAAACCATGCGGGTTTTCTGCGGATATTCCAGCTCCCTCCCACATTAAGAACTAAATCCTCTGCGTGCTTCCGTCAGGGCACAAAAAGAATGATTGAGACAAGTTTGGGAACAAAATGTTTGGTAATTGCTATAGAAAAAGGGGATATTACATATTTGACAATTAGTCTCAGTAAATGTATAGAGATGTTAGTTAAAAAATTAAATTAAAAAAAGAAAACATTTCAATGCTTTGATGTAACTGAGATCATCGTTATATCGATATGTAGTCTCAATCACAGTTCCATCCGGCTGAAACACTGTATTGAAAATCAAATTTTGTAACTGTCACCGAGGTCTGACAGGCAACGATGCCAAATAGAATTTAACAGTTTCTGTCTGTAACTAGTTATAAATCGGCACGCGTTGTGAAAAAGTTGCTGAAAAGGGGCGTGTTGGTTGTCTGGAAAATTATTGTTAATTTCGTAATAAATGCATTAACCTTTTTTCCCTTCACGAGGGGTGATGCATAAATAAATTATGTAAAGTCTGTAACCAGACTTTTAAAAATGTTGGATTTTTCGTTCTTATTCCTAACAAATGGAAATCAAAAGCTGATGATTTTTTTAGATGATGAAAACATAAATGTACACGTTGACCTACTGATTTAATGCCGGCTCTTTTTGAATAAATCTCCAGGTAGAAATATTAACAGAACCTGGTTGAAGACAAAAAGAATCTCCAGAAAATATCCCCATTTTGCCAGTGACAAAAACTAAATAAAATCTTGAAGCGCCGACAAAGAGATAAATGCAATGGATATCAGTTCCAGAATTTTCCGGTTATTTTTTATCCTTCCGGAAATAACCGATAAAGGCCGGTGGATTGTGACGTGCTTGTGACGTTATAGTATAATAATCTCCGAACGAAGTTTCATGCCTGTTAGTATCAGATTTTATGTAATATACTTTTTGATTCAGAATGTATATTGGTTTTAATCTTAATAAACAAGTAATAAAACAAGAAAATTGTTTTCACTATATGAAGATGTTCATGTATGGGTTGAAACACAGTTGTATTTGCTTCAAGGATACACTTTCTGTTTCCCCTCTAGACGTCTACTTCCGGACAAAAAAAAGTAAAGGCAATGTGTAGCAAGGGGGAGCAAATCTGTTTACGCACGCATGTTTTACCATTAAAGAGCTTTGGCGCCCGAGAGCTACGCTCTTATTAATAAAAATTAAACGGTATAATTGAATTATTTGTCTAGTCTCGTTTTGCACATATGTTATTGTTTTAAATTATCTTTTGTTGTCGTTATGCCTACAGGTATTGATATTCCACGACAACATGGTAGGGGCGGAAATCTTCTACCAGGTCCCCGTGTTATCAGTAATATCCTTCACAACACTGGCAGAAGTGAGCCGGACGAAGGTGGCCGCTCTGTACTGTTTATGTCGTGGGGAACGTTTGCAGTTTTAGATCTAGTTAGGACCCCAGTCTCAAAAGGTAAGATAACTGCCAAAGTGGGTAATAAGGTAAGAACGTGATCAAATCATTTACTATATGTTATTACTTGTCTTTGGAGCCAAACGCGTTAAAATTTGAAGTTCAACACTAGTGACAACTGTCTTCATTCATAGTTATTTTTTTCCAAAGTTAAATATCTGTATATTTCATTCAATAAAAAAGATGTAATTTAAATTACTCAGAGGTATTGTATTCAACGTTATTGTTTTTGCCTGTGACCCAATCTACTTAATGTTTCTAAATTTGGTTCCGGATATTTCGTTCCGATAACCCTCGGTTAATAATACTCTGTCAGATTAAAATATCAATGCATCGACCTCAGCTAAAGTCCATATTTAAAAATCTACTGATCCCTACTTTCCTTGATGAAAACACTTGTGTGATGTAGCTAATAAACACTAAACCTCCGATATATACAATATCTGAAGTGATGAAATGCTCTACAGACAATGAAACTGCTTATGAGATATAACTGTAATTTATATAATCAATGAATAAATATTTGTGTGTGGATATATATGCGGTAATATATATACTCAACACAGAAAATTACAAGCATTTCACGCCGCTAAGATGTCTCTATTTACAGAAATTGATTTATTTGTCTACTTTTGTAGGTTTTGACAATTCTGATATATCCTGTTGTCCTCCTGGCGGAGCTACAGCAGACCAAGTGTACGTATCAATGATGCAGTAAATAAACTGCCGGAGGCGTGTTCTATTGTAATTTGTTCTGGTAATACACAGACAAAATAAGTCATACCGTATAATGGAGTATTTTTTTCACGTTTTTGACCAGAAAATGGAAATTTCAATTTACATTGATTATAACATTGCGATCGAGACACATGAACGACTTAAATTTTTGCGATGGTTTCGTGCAGAAACGGGGCACTCGTCCTATGTCAAATAGTAAAATGAATAGGCCATATTGTAGCATATTGAAAAAAAAAGTATTAAGTGTATTTTGTTAAACAAATCATCACCAAAACTATAGGCCTAACACGTGTGATGCAATCTATCTTCAAACATCTTGTATTACTCTTAATGTAGAATCGGTACAGCCATAGGTCGCTATGTCATGACGACACCACGGTTATGACGTTTCTTATCACGGTTCATTTTTACGCTTGTCATATTATTCCGCGGGTCATATTTTCACGATCACGTTGTTGACCCACGAAGTAGCGAAAATCATCCCCGTGAACGAATCCTGCTCTACAGTGTTATAAACCTTTTTACAAATGGGGTATTTCAAACACGGGGTAAACAAACTTATTTACCCTGACAATTGTTTGTCATTTACAAAACTATTTAGCATTAAATGATGAGACCTAAACCTCTTTGAGCATTGCATTTATTTTAAAAAAGTAATGTTGAAAAAGGGGACATCTGGAAGTAAAATCGGAGGAATGAAACGGACTTATATGAATACCACGTCTAATAAAAATAATCGTTTTAATTTCTTACAAACAGGGCTTCGTGTTTTCCTATCAAGATACCGAGAGGTGACCTCCGATTCAAATCAAATTGCATGAACTTTGTGAGATCTCAAACAGCACCAACTCAGTCTTGCGATATGGGTGAGGTTTTATTATTGTTTCTCATAAAAAATCTTCCTCTCTCTGTTCTAGTTATGACGGAAAATGGTTGAACGAACGTTTTCTAATGCCATAATGACTGGATGCCAAGATTATATTTTGTAGCGTCGTCTTTGTTTATATTTTGTCAGAGCAATACAGAGATGAACATTCGTATAAACCAGACAAGAGTCGTCAGTACGAGGTAAAAAGTCGTGGGTAAAAGATTTTAAAAAAATACGTCGTACGTTTAGTTAAAAATTTGTTTGTTTGTTTGTTTGATTTTGTTTAATGTCCTATTAACAGCTAAGGTCATTTAAGGACGGCCTCCCCTGTGTGCAAGATGCATGCGTGTAGTGTATGTGTGTGTATTTTGGGAGGCTGCGATATGTTCGTGTTTGTCTCCTTGTGATAGCGCGGAACTGATGCCGACTTTATAGTGCTATCTCACTGAAACATACTGCCGAAGACACCCAGCAGGACGCCCCACCCGGTCACATTATACTGACAACGGGCGAACCAGTCGCCCCACTCCTAATTTGCTGAGTAGGTTAAAAAGTCGTACTTACATGCTAAAAATGTGTACGTCGCAAGTTTGAGAAAATTGCTGTTTTGGTTATTCACTTAAAGACGTTTAACTATTTCAAACATATCGTAAATTTAATTTTAAACCTATAATAACTCATATTCAGATGGGTCACATGCGACAAAGCAGTAACAAATGTGGTAAACGTTGGTCTTGAAATAGCGGAAATTTCATTTTTTTCCTCGACTTTTTATCAATATCGTACACCTTGGCCTCATAAAACATGGTCCGGATAAGATTTTTACGATTTTTTAAAAGATTTCGATTTTAAGACATTTAGCTTCGTGTCTGGTATCATTATCGGAATTATTAACAAATGAACAAAATTCAAATTTCCAACTTTTATTTCAGGTGTGCGACAACAATTGAATGAACAAAGTTCCTTTATGGACGCGTCTATGGTGTATGGCTCAACACAGGCTATCCTGAATCGATTGAGGAGCGGACGGGGAGGTACATTATGTTAAAATTAGTTAATTACCTGTACAGGTGAGGCAGACCTTGTGTTGTAATTGCCACAGGTGTCACAGCACACTATGATGAGTTGTGACACTTTTGGTAAGTCTACCAGTAGGACTGTCACATTTGCAAAGCAAATTAGAGTATTTTGATATAAACAACAAATTAAAAAAAAAAATCGTAATGTTTAGAATCTTTATATAGACATTTATGTATTATAATTTCCCCAATTATAATAGAAAAATAATATTCTACCAAGAAGTTGAATGTAAACGCTGATCATCAAGAAAGATAAGTTTTCTTTTAAAATCTATCACAAATATATGTTATCCTTATTTATTTACCATTTTATATTTCTTCAATATTTGTACAGGTCTCATGAAGATGACCATGACTGGACTTCTCCCACCTGCTAGCGACGAATCTTGTACTCTATCTGGTCCCGGGGAATTCTGTTTTGACGCCGGTATTTTACGTTTCTTACCTACATTTAAACATGAAAATTAGCTATCGCTCCCATCTCCCGACAAAACATTCCACAGTGCTGCTTTCTATTGGCTAGCTTAAAATCGCTATGGTGTTTTCATGATCCAAAAAAAGCATTGAAACTGTGATTCAAATGAAATTTGAAGATGAGCTGAATTAGATGATCAGCTTAACAGCGAAGTTGAGCACACACACAATTACACAATGATTTAAACGAACACATTCTATCCTGCCTGTTTTTATATTACATTTTAATATATAATGGGTAAGATATTATATTACATCTGTTATTGATTGTATATATCAAATTTGCTTTACGTATGTTTGAAGTACATATGCCTTATATTACATATGGAAAGCTACTCTCCCCGTTAAGCGTACACAACGTCGATTTAGAATCAAAACGCCATTTCATTTCAGTAATAATTACCATAACTTTAGTATGCATATACAATACCTACACCCATCTTTGTAGCCCAAAAACAGAAGATTCAAATATCCCTACCTCCCTACCGTGACGTAACCTATATCTCGATGACAAAGCCACGGAGTGATCTCCCTTCCTCTTCCTTTTATGACGCCTGCTGCCTGCTGACGCCCGGAGCTTGCTCCATTTCAAAACTTTGTTTTGTCGGTTTGGTTTGAGTGTCAACTCATATTTTTGCGCAGTTTGTGTGCCTTTTACCCATCTGCCTTTGTTGATATAACTAATTGTTGTTGAAAATTATTTTTGTGCCTTTAACGGCCGGTTATTTTACTCCACGTGTGCCGGTGATGTGCCACGGTCCGCCATTGTCGTGGGTTAAATTCCGACCTTTGTTTATTTCGGTGACGGTTGTTTGTTTCGGCAAACGTTATTTATTTTTACCGTTTTCTGATTTATATTACGGGTGAAATTCTTTCTACGTTTTACTTTGTACTATCGTATTTTATAATTTTTTCCCGTGTTATCTGCTTGTAAATTTTTGTTTACGTTCGCTTTGGAGTGTATGTGTCGGTCGGGACAGCGACGAGGTAGAGCTCATGGGTGTTCCCATTTCTTTGTGGAACGGGACCCTCATGATGTTTGACCCAGGTGTCGTCCTTGCATTGAGGTTTCGCCTTGTGAACTTTGTTCACAGACTTAATCTCATGACAAGGACTTCATTGTTCCAAAGCTACCCTCAACTTACCGTAAGACAGATTCGTCTGTTTCTTCCGGTAAGCGAGGGAAGCAGAGAGGTAGGGGTCGTGCCACCAGCTCTCTGGGGTCTGGTGGTACTGTCTCTGTTCCTGTTTCGGGGGGTCTTGCTTAGGCGAATCCCTCTCGTAAGCAGGGGGTGGCCCTTCCTGTCCAGGAACTCCCTGGAGTAGGGGAGGGGCAGCCCGACCCTGGCTTGGCACAGCCAAGGGCCGAATTGGCCGGGAACGCCCGTAAGCTTTCGCGCTTGCCTTCGGGAAGGGACTACCGGCCGCCGGCCACTGACTCTGTCAGTGATCCCGGCATTCCAGGGGGTGCTGTCGTTGGGGACAGTCTTGGTGCCGGGCCTGTTCTTTCGGGTTCAGGTACTGATGTGACAACATACTTTCTTTCGGAATTGTCTGTGTTTACCGGGATTAGTGACGCGCAGCTCACTAATCCTGGCATCAATGCTGGTCAGGCGTACCCTCCCGGTCAGTTACCCGGACCCGGTCCTATTAGGTCCGGTCCCGAGTTTCATTCTTCTTGGAACCTGGAGGGTTTCCCCCCCAGGTGTTGGGTTTGCTTGACAGGGGGCCGATTTCCGGCCTCCTCTTTCCCCTGGCTTAGGGTATACGGGTGCCTGTGGGCAACCATCCTTGGGCCGCCTTTACCAGTCTGCGGATGGTTTTGGAATGCAGCAGCATCCCGGCAGTTACGGGCTTAACCCGTGCATGTCCGGGTTTCCACCTGGAGGGAGTGGTGGTCCACCTTCGCCCTTTGGGCAAGTTGGCCAGCCCCAGCCTCAGGCAGACTAGTTTGGCCAGTTCTGGGGTCACTCCCAGCCCGCGGGACCTTTCCCTTATCCTCCGGGATATGGGTTTAACCCCATGGCATTTCCGTTGTGGAATCCTTGAGGTTTGGTCTCTCCCTCGCGGAGACTTGTAAGCAGTTCTGTTGACCCCCCCCCCCAACATTCTGCTACTTCGGGGGCCTTATCGGCCGGTCCTAAGAAGTTGTGTCGGACGTTTAGGACTCTCGGGCAGGCCCGTTGGTCTCTGGGTCAAAGGGTAGGGTTTTGGCTACTAAGCCTAAACCTACAGCCACGGCCGTTAGGCGCACTGCACCTAAACGCCGGTACGGGGAGCCTTCTCTCGGGTTGGCCCCTCTGGCTGGCCCATTTCCTCCGCCCGAGGCTATGGACGTTGAGGGCACGGGTATGGCAGAGGACGATGATGTTCATCTTTCACCTGGTTGCTCGGATATAGACGCTGGTCTTTCCGAGTCGTCTGACGACGGTCCTCAGGAGGGCTTGCCCTCAGAGGAGGACTTCCAGGATGAGGGTGACCCTGAGGCTGCTGAGGTTGAGGCCCAGCATGTGTTGTCCGGTATGCGGGGCCTTAGGGCCGACGTTTCCCGGATTCTTGGGGAGGAGGTTTACCCACCACTTTCGGCGTCATCTGTCCCCGAGTCCATCACCCTTTTGGGTTCTTTAGTGGCTCCTCGGGGGTCCGCTCGGTCGGACCGCTCCCTGCCAGAAGGCACCATTGTGTCTTCAGCTCTGGCCACCGCCCAGTCTCGGGTTTTAGAGAAGAATTTTTCTTCAACCCGTTGTCCTGGTTATGCTGGGTTGCAGCTCAGTGTTGGCGATTTGTCAGAAGTGCACGCCACTGACTATGCCACACATGATGGCCTGCTTGCCCCTCAACCAGCTAAGCTGGAATCGAGGGAACTTGCAGCCTGGCCCGGTAAATCGGTGGACCAGGCGGTGTTCGGTCCCAAAGAACACCACAAGATGGAGAGACTGCTGCGTCTTTCCATCCATATTCTGTTTTATATAGACTACCTGACGGTTTGTCTATATAGGGTATCCGACTTGCCTGAGGGTCGGATTACCAATACAGAGCAGGCCGACATCCAGGACAGAGTGACCTCTGCCCTGAACGGGGCATTGAGAGCGCTGGCAGCTTTACAGGTGTCATCGCTTGTCAATGTCTTGTTGGCTAGGCGGTTATCAGTTTTGAAAAACCGCTCGGTCGATGAGCCTTACCGCTCCAGATTGTTGACTGCCCCCCTCTCAGGGTCCACTCTTTTTGGAGGGGCCCTTCCTTCTGTTCAGAAGGATTTGAAGGAGGACTCGGTCGCCTCTGCACTTCTGGTGAAGAGGATTCAGGCTGAGAAGGCCAGTACCTCGCAGAGGTCAGCGCCTCCTAAGAAGAAGGCTAAACCTTTGGCTTCGCAGTCCTCTGCGCAGCCCAAGTATAAGCATCCCTTCAAGGGCAACAAATGGAAGGGTAAAAAGGGTAAGAACCCTCCTGGGGGTAAGGAGAAGGGTTCCTGACTCTCTTCTTCCCTCCATGGTCATGTCAGACGACGAGTTTGGCCGGGAGGACTGCAGTCCTTTCGGCTCAAGCTAAGGTCCTTCTCCCGCAGGATTAGGCTTCGGGTCAGCAGACGGTTCTCTTGCCTGGCAAGGTCTCGATCTGCCTCGACCAGATCTTCCTGTGGGGGGTCGTCTTTCTGCTTTCCTTCAAGAGTGGAAGGAAATTACGGAAGACGCATGGGCCTTGTCTGTGATCAAGGAGGGGTTAGGCATTCCGCTAGTGCGGGATCCGCCCTTACCGTCGGAGCCAATCTTTTGTCCTCCACCGGGGGATCCGGAAAAGGCTCTGCGCTCCAGGAGGAAGTAAGGACCATGCTTACCAAGGGCGCGGTCGAGGAGGTTCCTATGTCGGGATGCACTCCCGGGTTCTACTCCAGAATGTTTCTGGTTCGGAAGAGGTCCGGGGCGTGGCGTCCCATCATAGATCTAATAGACTTCAACAAGCACGTAGATTCTCCTCACTTCAAGATGGAGACTCCTCGGGGTATTATCGCCTCCGTGAGAGAGGGAATGTGGGCGACTTCAGTAGATCTGAAGGAAGCCTACTTCCACATCCCTATCAAGAAGTCGGAACGGGAGTACCTCCGTTTTACTTGCAACGGAAAGTTCTTCCAGTTCCGGGCCATGCCGTCCGGGCGCACGACTGCACCTTTGGTTTTCCCCAAGCTGCTGCAGGTGGTCGTGGGATTCCTGCACTCTCGAGGAATATATGTTCACATCTATTTCGACGACTCCCTCATGCTCCACCTAATTAGAGAGTCTCTGGTGCAGGTCACCCGGTTGGTTCTGAAACTCTTACTCAAGGTCGGCTTCATTCCTTCCAGAGAAAAGTCGGAGGTTTCCCCATCTCAGGATTTTGTTTTTCTGGGCAACCGTTTCAATACGGTTCAGGGGATCGCCCTTCCACCGATGGAGAAGTTCGAGAAGGCCAGGGCTTTTGCTCCGACCTTCATCGGCCGGTCTCAAGTCCAGGTACGTTGGTTTCTCAGTTTTCTGGGATATCTGAACGCCCTGGCCGATGTTGGCCCCTTAGGGAGACTTCACATCACGCCTCTCCAGATGTTTCTCCTTGCCAACTGGGTCCCTTCTTAAAGGGATTGGGAAGCCTTGCTTCCTCTTAACCAGTCGGTCAAGGAGTACGCACGCTGGTGGACTCATCAGGAAAATGTTCTCCGAGGGGTTCCTTTGTCCAAGCCAATTCCCACTATGACCCTGTACACGGATGCATCCATGACAGGGTGGGGAGCTTATCTCGACGGGCGTTGCCAGTCGGGGGAGTGGTCTGGGGAACAGCTCTCGGAGCACAGCAATGTGCTCGAGATGAGGGCTGTTCTGTTGGCTCTGCAGTCTTTTCGGAGATCCTGCATTCCAAGGTGGTTTGTGTGTCTACGGACAACACTACGATTGTCGCGTATCTGGAGAGACAGGGGGAACCAGGTCTCACACCCTGTGTGCCCTCGCTATCCGCATTCTGCTTCTATGTCAGGAAATGCAGTTGACAATTTGTGTCAAGAATCTACCAGGCAGGTTGAATGTTCTGGCAGATTATCTTTCCAGGCGCCGCCAGCCGGTTTTGACAGAGTGGCAACTGAATCCCTCGATTTTCGAGGGAATTTGTCAGGTGTGGGACAGGCCTCACATAGACCTGTTCGCCATTTCACTGAACAATCAGTTGCCAACGTTTGTCTCTCCGGTTCCAGATCCAAGGGCTTGGACCGTTGACGCTCTGTCTCTGGACTGGCCCTTGGCCCTTCCTCCTATAGCGAACCTCCTTCGCCAGCCTCGGTCCAGGACGATGCACTCTCGTCCGGAGATCCTACACCTTCACGGGTGGAAGCTATCTCAGGAGGCCTCGCTCAGGCGGGCTTTTCTAGGGACTTGTCAGATCGCATCGCTCGATCAATTAGGGCTTCCTCATCTGCCGTCTACCAGTCACGATGGAAGATTTACTGTGATTGGTGTGTCGGCAGGAAGGTTGATCCGATCAAGACTACTGTCCAGGTGATTGCGGACTCCCGTCTTTGGCTGTTTAGGGACCGCAATCTTGCCCCTGGCACTATCGCTGGTTATCGCACGGCCATTGCTAGTGTTCTCTCTGTTCATGGTAGGTCGGAGGTAGGCTCGTCCTCCTCTCTTTCTGCCTTGATTAGGGGGTTTGGGTTGGACAGGCCTAGGGTCCGGCAGTTGGCTCCGCAGTGGAATTTGCCACTGGTGCTCGAATCGCTGATGCGGGCACCTTATGAGCCTTTAGCGTCTGCCTCCTTGAAGTTTGTTACTTACAAGGTGGTATTCCTTGTTGCCCTGGCCTCAGGTCGAAGGAGGAGTGAGATTCATGCCTTGTCTTCTCACCCCTCTTGCCTCCGATGGTCCAGGAATTACTCTGCCGTTACCCTTCTCACTGATCCTGCCTTTATGGCTAAGAATCAGGTTCCTGGCTTCTCGCCCGATCCGATTAAGATTCCGTCTTTGACTGCCTTCGTTGGAGCTGAGGAACGGGATAGGTTGCTCTGTCCCTGTCGGGCGCTTAGGTTTTACCTCGATAAAACCAGGGGGGGGCGAGGTCCTCGATCTCGTCTGTTTTTGCCCATTAAGCAGGGTCAACAGGATATCTCTTCTCAGTCAGTGTCTAGATGGATCTGTCAGGTCATCAAGTACGGTTACGACCACTCGGATGATCAGGTTCGGGCGTTGTATAAGGCAAGAGCTCATGATAACAGGGCCCTTGCTGCGTCATGGGCCCTCCTCAATGGGTCCCCCTTTCAGGAGGTCATGTCCGCGGCTTTCTGGCGAGGACAGACTACCTTCACGGATTTTTATCTCCGGTCCTTGGCCTCTCATTCTGATGGATCGTATTCCCTTGGACCGGTGGTGGTTGCACAGTCTGTGGCTGTTCCTCCACAGTAATTCAGTGATTTTAAATAGTATGCTATCAGGCACCACGCTGGTACACCTGCTCGTTTCACGGGGAGGTTTTCCATTTTTTAATTACTTTCGGGGCTTTATTAGGGGGGTTCCTTGAAGCTTTTCCCTACCTTGAGCATGTCTCGAGTTTGTTCCGTCAGCGTGGTCTGCCTGGATTCGAAGCCTCANCCTGGATTCGAAGCCTCCACTACGGTAAGACGAATTCGCATACTAAAGTTATGGTAATTATTACTGAAATGAAATTGAGGTTTTTGAAGTAAAACCAATTTTCATGATGTAATACTTACCATAACTTTATGGAGTCCCACCCTGTATTCCTCACCTTGTCTCCTCATCCTGGCTGCCTTTAGGCTCCATAAAAGGGGGTTTGAGGAAGGGAGATCACTCCGTGGCTCTGTCATCGAGATATAGGTTACGTCACGGTAGGGAGGTAGGGATATTTGAATCTTTTGTTTTTGGGCTACAAAGATGGGTGTAGGTATTGTATATGCATACTACAGTTATGGTAAGTATTACATCATGAAAATTGGTTTTACTTCAAAAACCTCAATTTTATTGTTCTTTATACACATGGTATTAATATTTTTGTTACAACTTTACTCAATATTGACAATAATCAAGATAAAATTACTAAAATAATAAATAAGTGACGATAAACTTTTAAAGTATTAACTGTTCAAGGAATTATGTTACACGTGCGACGTCATGCAATGAAAGCTATAGCACTAAGGCGTTGTGTCCAAATGACTGAAACTACATTGTAGCAGAGACATTGATGATCTCATACATGAAACACCTAATTTAAAGGATAGTAATTAAGGGTATTGCCACGGCCAATGAAAATAAACTGTTCAAGAAAGAAAATATGCTGAACCATTTTTCTATATGCTCAGGAAAATGTATATTTCTCACATATATCATACCAATATGTCTGAGCATTGTTTTAATATGATTTTATTCAGTTGACATATATATATGTATACAGTGAATCAGAACTGTAAGAACATTGGTGAAATGAATGCGATATTTTGATTTTCTTTGGCGTATAAAGTTTTGCTTTCTCTTTAATGGCATGACATTGCAAAAAAAAAATGTGATGTCCGATGTTATATCCTTTACGTTTTTATGTTTAATTGTTTTGTTTTTTAACTTTTCAAAAACAGATATTTTTAAATAGATATTGCATAAATAGTAATAACTGACTTTCCACGAATATATATGGTTTCAACTTAAACCATGCTTGTCACATAATTCATCTTAGTAAATCTCGCTTCTCCAATTTTATTCCTTTATATTTGTATCAATAACCAATAATTAAAACTAGCACCTTTAATTAGCTCGTTCGTATCAATGTGCAATGTGTGATATGTATGTAAATATTTATACATAAAGCTGATCATTTTGTTCGTTGTTTAGGAGCCCCTAGGAATTCCTTGGTACCTTCCTTCGCCGCCGTCTTTACGCTTGGGGTACGAGAACATAACAGAATAGCTAAACAGCTTAATCGTTATAATCCTCACTGGTCTGATGAGAAACTGTTCCAGGAAACCAGAAAAATCGTCATAGCTATTATTCAGCACATAAACTACAACGAATTCTTACCACACGTACTCAGTAACGCACACATGCGAGAATACGGTCTCTTTTCCACACCGAAAGGTCATCGGACCGTGTACAACCCAAATGTCAATCCGACCATAGGCAACGTATTTGGTGTGGCAGCATTCAGGTTTGGGCATTCCCTTATACCAGACCTCCAGGGTATGAAGGAAGCGCACAGTTCTAAATCAGTCGTGACACCTATAGAATTCACCTACTTGAGGCCTGCCATGCTGTTCGCTGACAATGGGCGAGGTGTTGATAAGGTAAACATCTGGCAGCTCCATTCCAAGCAAGCCAAATCAGACAGATTTCTACAAAATGGTGTCAGGAACGAGTTACTTTTAGATGAAATGGGCGTTGCCTTGGACTTGGCAGCGACGAACATCCAAAGAGGACGCGACCACGGAATGGCTTCCTATAATGCATGGCGAAAATGGTGTGGACTGCAACCTGCAAATCACTTTAGTACGAGTCTGGGGGGTCTTATAGACATTGACCCTCTGGCAGCAGATCTTTTGTCGAAAGTGTACAGGTAGGTTATTGACACATTCTGTTATAGCAATATGTCATGATTGGGTTTTCCTGTTTAATCGTATATATGTTTATAAGCTAACTATTAAAATGTCACTTCCTTCCCATAATAAGGATAATTGCTAATGTAAACACTTTTTCTGTGTTTCTTTTGGGGACATTTACAACAGCTTAATATGACCAAATGTTCTTGTTGAAAGAGTCCATATATGAATTGTTTGAATTACTTCATTTTATGTATGTGTTTATTTACATATTTATTTTATTTGGTTAAATTGTTCCTCCGACGAATTGTTTTCTTCTTCATAGACACCCGGATGATATCGACTTGTTCACTGGAGGCCTGTCAGAAATGAAAATCAAAGGAACACTTACTGGACCGACATTCTCCTGTATCATATCAAAACAATTCGAGGTACTAAAAAAGGGAGACAGGTTCTGGTACGAAAGTGACGACCCGATTGTTAGATTCACAACAGGTAAGTACTGGTAAAGGGGATATCATTATCATAGCATTATATAACCAACAGGAACGTTACCCTAGATTATATCCCGCCGCGAAATTATAGAGAAATCAGTTTGTCTGTTCATCCTAATAATTCCGTATGTAATTGACCCCATTGTTTTCATCTCTACTTTGAAATACTTTTGGTATGATCACTGCACTCTAAAACTATGCCCGTTCGTTCATGTATGTCAGTCTGACTATTTTAATGCGAGGTATGCTCCTTTTGCAACTCATAAAACCGATCTTGCCACGATAACCTGTGGTCGTGGTAGTGTAAATGGGAAACCTGTATTGGTCGTGAGAATGACGAGTTGAGATCTATAGTGGTTGTGTGAGTGAGGTGAGGAATCATGTAGTGGTTGTGAGAGCGAAGTGATGAAACCTATAGTGGTTGTGAGAGCGAAGTGAGAAAACCTGTGGTGGTTGTGGGAGCGAAGTGATGAAACCTATAGCGATTAAGGGAACAAATATGTGTAGTGGTTTATGGGAGAATGTGTTTTAACCAATGAGGTAACCTTCTGACTCTGGTCATATCAGGTTGCAATGATAGGGTGGAACGGCTTACCCATTGACTTAGAATATATGTAGCAATTATAAGAAACAAATTTGCTACTTTGGTAGTATTTCAATTTTATATTATCTGAACTCTTACTCCATTTTTCATTGAATTTCAGCTCAACTAAATGAGATTAAAAAAGTACGAGTATCTCAGATAATGTGTGCAAATACTGCAATTCAAAAAATCCAGCAACATGCGTTCCTGGTACCGTCTTTGACGTAAGTATAAACTTTAATGTGTCACAAACTAAATGTGTCAAGAACTGTCTTAAAGATTAATGTACACTTATCATATCAACCACTCAATGTTCGAAGTACCGTATTCAAAACTCACTGTTCGAAATACTGTCTTTTGATTTCAGTTTAATATTAACTTACAATCTATCATATTGTTCCAAGTAAAACTTCACTGTTCGAAGTACTGCCTTAAAGGTAAGTTTTATGGTAACTATTTAGATAGCATAATGTAACATATGTGATACAATTTACTTTTTAATTTAAAGTATACCAGCTTTCTTTATTCATGAATATTTCCGCGACGAAATCATTACCTAATCATTGTAATTTTTGTTATCGGCTAATGTGTCCTGTTCTGAAATTTGAATATTATAAAAATAAAAAATAAAATATGTGGTGCTGTATTCTGGGTAGACAGTTATGTCAAGAGACAATAGTTGCGATATAATAATGCTTAACAAACGTGTACCCCAAACTCATAGTTACATGCAACCTACGGTTCATTTTATATAAATGGGTGATGGTTACAAAAAATGTCTACAAGATTGTGGTTTGGATAGTTGAAAAATTGTGGATGTTGGTTATACTGTGATGAATACAGACACAAAACTCAGATTAATGATATATACTTTTCTGATTGATAAATTGTTTTAAGGATCCGTGTCCGGCATTCTGTTTTTTTTAGTATAAAAAAGCTTCCTTAAACTTTGTTTTGAGTACAACTGTAGCACAATTTGCGAAAGGCCACCTCCGTTCAGTAATTAGACTATCGATTAGATTGGCTCAGTTATTATCTGAGATCCAAGCTCAATTTTTTACCCTCAAATCACTTTCGTTGATTATATTTTGTTATTTCACCACTACTATTTTTTCCAAGTCCTACAAGGTATTGTTTCATTTAAGGAAATAATTTAATAAATTTTAAGACAAAAAGAAGAGAAAATATTTTTCATTAAATAGTTAGAGGTTTTTGCAGAGGTACTCTGATGCTTAATGTCATTTCACGGTTATGAGGGTAGCATAATGATGAATTGTATGCCATTATGTTAATGAAATGGCCAAGTTTCCAAGTTTCCCTCTTACAACAGCGATGAATATTCACCATAACCCCCCGCCCCCAACCCCACCCCACCCCACCCCGAAAGAAAAAAGCTTAATATTTTAAAGATTTGTACTCTATCAATATACGTTTTTATCTTAATTGAGAATTCAATTATATACTTCTTTCACAATAGTAACAGGATGGTCCCATGTGAATTGCTGCCAACAATTGACCTTCGTCACTGGATTGAAACTCCCAACCAACAATCTCAGGCACATCGTTTCCGTATAGGATATCGCTTAAACAATCGTGTGATAGTGCCTTACAACCCCGTCCGTCTATGGGCCTACCAAAACAACATGGTGTTACCTGCCAGCCACCAGATAATTAATCTGTGATATGAAATTAAAATCAAATCACTTGGTAAGAATGAGTCTTTGATGTTTAACAAGTGTGATCCTATCAGCTGCCTCGGAATACAAAAAAAGGAGACAACAGTCATACTTAAATTGCCAGTATTAAGACAAGGAAAATGGTGTAAGGACCAGAAGGATACAAAAGTCCCTCAATTGGTTTGTATGTCAGAGTGTACGAAGGTAATCACTTAATAGACATTATTCCTTTTTCCCAGAGGGTCATTTTTGTAAGGAATATCTATATATAATGATTGTCATGATATGTCAGATAATTCTTGCTGTTTTAATATGAACACAATATTGTTAAACTTTTTAAATGAATACAATTTGTTTTTATAACTTTTCTATGAGTTTCTTTATCATTTGATTGTGTTTATTTCTCTGAAATACATGTTGGTATTGTTCTCTTCAATGTAACCGCTGATTTAATAAGACTCTAGTTTAAATATCTGTAAAAGGTATCTGTGACAGAATAATCATCATGTACTGCTGCAAATCTCACTTTGTAAGAATGAGTTTTAGATGTTTAACAAATATGATCAGATGAGTTGTCTCGGTATACAAAATAGAACAAAACAGTGATATTTTAATTACAGGTTTAATGACAAAGAAAATGGTGTAAGGCCCAGAAATATACAAAAGTCCCTCAATGGGTTTGTATGTCAGTATACGAAGGCAATCGCTCAATAGCCATTATTCCTGTTTCCTAGAGAGTCATTTCTGTAAGGAATATCTATATATAATGATTAATATGATTTGTTAGATAATTATTGTGGCTTAAAAAGGAACAGAATATTGTTAAACTGTTTGTAAACAAAGAGTTATAACATTACAAGGTATACAGTTATGAAATACAGCATAATGTCAGGACACAAAAACACAATAGACATTTTAAGAGTTACGACATGTCCATTTCATACGAACGAGAGAGCGGAGTGTTACTGCTGAGGAAGGTAAAATACCAGTCTTCAAATATAAGGTCGTCACTTATATTATAAAACATTTTTAGAGATGAAGGTTTTATTATTTTCAAATAAATGTCGAAACATGATAATGAGTTAATTGTTCAAGGAGATGAAAGTTTCTTCTCATAGAAGAACTTTTCTATTGATTTGTCTTGATCATTTGATTGTATTTATTTTTCTGAAATATATGTTGTTATTGTTCTCTTCAATGTAACCGCTGATTTAATTTAACACAAATTTAAGTGTGTGTAAAAGATATCTGCGAAAGAATAATCATCATGCACTGCAGCAAATCTCACATTATAGAAGGGTCATCGCCGGTATATTGTGGTAATACATTTTCAAAATATTTAGAGAGACCGATCAAATGCCGTGTTACATATCTAATCAGTTAGAATTAGGATCACACCAGTATACTATATTAAACAATATTCCGGTTTAAATGTATTTCATTGATCAACATAACATTAGGTTAAACCTTGTTATCCATAAAGATAGTCGTATCCTGTGCAATGTAAAGCTCTGATTATGGTGCCGCTGGTTGAACATTTAATGGTATACAATATTTTGTTGACGACAAGATAAAACGTGTATTGAATTAATTATTGGTGTGAGATAGTAGTCCAGTTCCACTTTCAATTTGGACTACTATAAAAATTAAGTTGGATATACATATGTGTTTGCTCGTCGAAATGTTTTATTAATTTACTTTTATATTGTTTTTTTTTTTTCATTCTATTTTGAATAAGCACCTTAGTACGTAGTGCTAGCATTGAGATTTTATTCTATAACAGTTTGAGCTTGGAGGAATTTCACAGGACTCAGGGGCACGACGGTATACAATGGACTATGCTCCTGCCAAAATCTCAAATTGAGGGATGGTATCATCTGACACGGTATCTTTGGATTGCTGTAAATAGAAATAAAACGATAAAACTATTATTTCAAATGACATTAAGAATTCTTACAACTTCTTGATAACATTCTTAAACATTATCTATGCCTATTTCAAAACTACTTATAACTGTCACTGTAGGATTACCATTCCAACGTTTGTGAAGTGCCTTAGAATGATTTTGCAAATTATATAGGGTGCTATATAATATTGTTTAATATTTTATTACTGTTATCTATAAATACTCGAGACGGTTACATGACATCATCTACAGTAAAACTGTTTTATATTTAATACCAACTATTATGACGCTTAAATGAAGCAAAACGATGACGTCATACTTGAAAGCTTATGTTACCAAGAGGCCCAAGAGCCTAATTGGTCATATGTAATAACATAAAAGACAACTAATTACGTATTAATCTTTCAAAAACTGAACATCCTTGTCTACAATTTGCAATTACGTATACATCAAATAAGATTTGTCACATGATTAGTGAAAGGGTGATAATCCTTATTTAATGCAATTGTTTTATAAAGAACAATGTAACACGCTACAACATGTCAACAGATTGGTATTTTTTAGGTCACCTGAGACAAAGTCTCAAGTGACCTATTGCGATCGCCTTTTGTCTGTCGTCGTCCGTCGTGCGTCCGGAAACAATTTACATTTTCGACTTCTTCTCCAAAACCACTCAACCAATTTCAATGAAATTTTGCAAGAACCTTCCATGGACAAAGGTCAACAAAAAGTAATGCCGGTTTAGTCCCAAGCCCCCAGGGGCCTGAGGGGCGGGGCCAAAAATGATCAAATTGACTAAAATTTCAAAAATCTTCTTCTCAAGACCCCGATATGGTAGAATCAAATACTCTTCATAGATGGAAGGGTCTTAAGGTCCTTTACCAAAATTGTGAATTTCTTGTCCCTGGGATCTCACGTTTTCCCCTGGGGAGGGGGTAAACTTGTCTATAGTTTATATAGGGAAATCACATTTTGGACCAACATTTGTTTAATTTCCATTGGAAGTAATTCAATTTAGGTTAGCATTATCAGTATTAGGTAGAAGTTTGATAGTATGCACATATCAGCCCTGACTGACCCCCCCCGGGGTTGATGGGTGGGGTCAAAAAGGGTTGATTTGACTGAAATTTCAAAAATCTTCTTCTCAAGACCCAGATATGGTATAATCAAATACTCTTCATAGATGGTAGGGTCTTAAGGTGCTTTACCAAAATTGTCAACTTCCTGACCCTGGGGTCTCACGCTTTCCCCTGGGGAGGGGGTAAACTTTACTATCGTTTATATAGGGAAATCACATTTTGGACCAACATTTGTTTAATTTCCATTGGAAGTAATTCAATTCTGGTTAGCATTATCGGTATAAGGTAGCAGTTTGATAGTATGCACATATCAGCCCTGACTGACACCCTGGGGCTGATGGGTGGGACCAAAAAGGGGCGAACTGACTAAAATTTCAAAAATCTTCTTTTCAAGACCCAGATATGGTAGAATCAAATACTCTTTATAGATGGAAGAGGCTTAAGGTGCTTTACCAAAATTGTGAATTTCTTGACCCTGGGGTCTCACGTTTTCCCCTGGGGAGCGGGTAAACTTTACTATAGTTTATATAGGGAAATCACATTTTAGACCAACATTTGTTTAATTTCCATTGGAAGTAATTCAATTCTGGTTAGCATTATCAGTATAAGGTAGCAGTTTGATACTATGCACATATCAGCCCTGACTGACCCCCCCCGGGGTTGATGGGTGGGGTCAAAAAGGGTTGATTTGACTGAAATTTCAAAAATCTTCTTCTCAAGACCCAGATATGGTAGAATCAAATACTCTTTATAGATGGAAGAGGCTTAAGGTGCTTTACCAAAATTGTGAATTTCATGACCCTAGAGTATCATGTTTCCCCCTGGGGAAGGAGGGGGTGGGGGGCGCAAAATTTATTATGGTTTATAATGGCAAATGATTCTTTGAATAGTACATGTTAACAACTTGATTGGAATTATAACCTTGAGTTGACAATTTGATACTTTGAAAATTTTGAGCCAGCCCTACCCCCAAGGGCTGTAGGGTGGGGCTCAAAGGAGTCAGTGTGCTAAAATTTCTTTATTTTCCTTGTTTAGAATCAGAGATGCTAGTTTCAAATATTGTTTAGTCTTAAATCTGTATGCTAGATATTGAATAAGGTGGTTTTATTGTTTTTTTGTCACTTTGAATAATATTTATTTCTGTACATGTTAAAAACAAAATCAACTCTCTGTATAAATATATCAGGTGACCGTTAAGGCCCATGGGTCTCTTGTTTATTATTATTATTAATATAACTTGCGTTTCTGTTCTAAAATAAATTATCAAACCATATTTCGTAAGAGTTTTTGATCAATAATAACTTCCCAAAATCTCACATTCACCTTTATTAAATTCAATTCAAATATGTACACACCTGTTCTGTGCTGTAAGGTGATACCAGTAATATATCAATGGTGAAATTATGACTGTACGAATACAATATTTCTAACAAAACTACTTCTGTCCTTTCGAAGTAACTAGAAGGAAAAAAAATTGGCATTTTATGATTTTGCTCGACAAAATAGAAAATTAGCAATGACATATTTGCGCGGTCACTTGTCGAATGTAGCTACCTCTGTTATTGCACTGAAAAGAGTGGAAACAAAATATGAATGTTCATGAAAATGAGTAAAACTTTGTTTACGGTAAACCTCTACTTTTGACACACCGGGTAAGCAATTTTGAATATGTATTAAAATTAGTTCATGTTTTGTGGTCAGGTAAGCGTTTAAAAATCCTACAATGTGAGTTTTAAAATTTTGTCTAAAGTATCATGTCCTGATAACACCCAACCAACAGATATAACTAAAACTTGATTCTATATCTTATAATAATTAAAAGTAAACATAATGTGAAAAGTTATATGCCAATCAAAAACAAAGGAAAAAAACACACTGAAAAACGTTATATTCCAACTGAAAAGGATATTTGTAAAATACTTTGGGTTTTGCATAAATGATTTGATGAAAAATGCAGAGCTTGATTCGAAAGTATGTTAGATTTTAGGGGTTCAAATTTCATTTTTTTATTTCGATTTCATTTTTTTATTTCGATATGCCTGCCCTGCAGGTAGGGCGTAAGAATTGTACCTGCTGCCCCCAATTGCATGATCGTAAGAGGCGACTAAATTTGGGACCTTATCTCTTCTCTCCTTTCTAAATAACTTTCTTCTTCCTAATGTCTCCCTTGACAATGCCTCACTTTTGGCCATTTGTTGAGCGTTCGCCCCTGTGAGGAAGGCTTTGGGTTCTGTCCCCTGGCCGAGACATACCAAAGTCTTTAAAAATGGTAGTTTATACTCCTGCTTAACGCTCAGCAAATTAGGAGTGGGACGACTGGTTCGCCCGTTGTCAGTATAATGTGACCGGGTGGGGCGTCCTGCTGGGTGTCTTCGGCAGAATGTTTCAGTGAGGTAGCACTATAAAGTCGGCATCAGTTTCGCGCTATCACAAGGAGACAAACACGAACATATCGCAGCCTCCCAATATACACACACATACACTACACGCATGCTTCTTGCACCCAGGGGAGGCCGTCCTTAAATGACCTTAGCTGTTAATAGGACGTTAAACAAAATCAAACAAACAAACAAACAAATATTTCGATATGCAACTAGCCATCAACAACGGCATCGACAGGAAAGGATACACAGTTACACAAAATGCTCTTATAACCAGAATTTAAAATACACGAACAGTTGTCGTTTTTCGTATTTTATCATAATTGGATGCCGTTAGATAACGCCATCATCTAATAATTCCACTTAAAGATGATATCGAAGAAATGACTTTAAATATTACTTTTCAAACTACTTTACTTGTTGAACAAAGTCAACATGTAACTGAATTTGTATTTAAACAACACAGCCGTTTTTTGTATTGTTATTTATAAAATGTTACCTTCTGCGATCTGGCCTCAGGAACTGATGTGGTTGTGTTGCTTGTATACGGGAATTCCTACATTGAATAGCAGCTAGAGTAGTCTTTTTTAGTTCATTCAGCTGGTCTTGAAAAATAAAATAAAGTGATATAGATTTTAGTGTTATAGTTTTGCATTTTTTTAATCAAATCATGAATAGTTTTATTTTTTTATTTTATCGAATTGATCATATTTTTTTCTATACTGCCATATTGTTATCTAACAACACAGCCGTAAGTAGTGGAGATGAATAAATGGTCGATTTTGACTTGTTAATTCTATTCATCTTGAAAATATAATCATTCTTGGGAAGAAATTCTTACTTATATCACGCAGCTTCGTGCCTTTGGTGGCCATATCCTAACTAATACCAAGTAATCAACTTTAATAGGTTCGTATTTCATAGAATTCATTCAGGATATTTACGATTGCTTTCATTTCCTTATTACAGGCAGTTATCAGATCAACGAGATGATTTTATTTATTGGAAAATGTTAACATTTTAATAACTATGTTCTAATGTTCAGAAAAATGCGGGAACAGTGGAGACACAGCCTTAATTCAAACTCAGTTTTGATAAAACTAGGGCAGAATATCAACTTTAGAAATACTCTTATGTATGGGAAAAGTGTTTGCAAACAAGACCGGGTGTTACAAAGAGCGTCTTCTGCATCGAAAAAAACTTGCTATGTTAGGGGAAATGCATCTCATTTTCAAGACGAAATTCCAGAAAGTGACAACCGAATAACCAAGCAACAAAGTGAACGTAATAGAAAACATCGACCTTCATTTCGAGCTAGTCAAAAGAATATTTACCAATGAGTTCATGATGGCGATTTAATCGACCTGCGTCACTCAAAACATTTTAGTTGTATTTTCATGCGTCAGCAGTGGACATAATTTACATATATCTTAATTGTAACTAACATGAATGATACTGTTTGCCACGTAAAACTTACCTGCAGTGAAACTTCCCGGCGTATTTGCATTCTCGTAATAGAATCTGTCTCCCCTTTGAAACCTTGCGAACTGTTTGGCAATAATACAAGCAAACGTAGGTCCTATGGAAGCTCCAGGAAGGTTTTTTTCAGACACGCCTGCTGGAAATAGGTCGATGTCATTCGGATGTCTGACAATGATGAGGCAAATAAAGGGAGATAATAACAAAAACATATTATAAAATAATTTGCACTAATAAAAACAAGGAATAAGAGCTATACATTTACTATTATGGAAACAATCACAATAAGCTGAAAGCTCTTGCTGAAAGTTTGAGGATAAGCGATTTAATTAAAAAACGAAAAACTATATTGATGTTTAATGTCAAGCGTTCCATTGACATAGAATATGTAAACCCTTGCTTGCCGCCTAAATTTAAAAATAGAGGAAATTTTCCTTGTATACGAAACTGGTTAATTACAGCACTTCGGATCAAATATTTTACTATACAACCGAAAAGTATTAATTAACTGAATAGTATACCAGAACGTAAAGTATATTAACGACAAGAAGTGAGTCAGCACTCAAAGTAAATTAAAAAAAAATTGGGAACAATAACCGGAGCCAAAGGGGATCTAAAAAAAATAATATATAGAAACTTTCTTTTTACCCTCCCTTACACCAAAATGACATGATGAAAACATACTTAACGAATGAACAAAATGTTATCAGAGGTAAAAAAAACACTTTATCGAAACAATGTGTATAGAAGTAGATGCCGTTAAATTTTAGTTGTGTCGACAAAAAATGGTTATAGAAGTGAACGTTGTTAAATTTTAGTTGTGTCGATAGCCCATTGTAAACTGGCACAGTGCATGCTTGTGGCGGTGTATTTGCCTATGGATAGAGGGCTGGCGACTATGTGATTAGCTGTAAATATAAGCAGCCATATGGTATTTAACCATTTTAACTATGGTATTTCTGAAATAGAGGAAACGCTGTTTTCAGATATTCTCAATGTTTCTGAATAGATAACGTTTTAAACTTAAATACAATGCATACCTGTATAATTTAGATAAGAATATTCTGGCAATACCATCGTGGTCAACGAGTCCCCCTGGCCCTTTCCCGAAGTGGACTACCGGCCGCAGACCGCACCACTCCCTCCAAACATTATATGGTGGAATGCCATGGTCCCGTCCTCTTTGTATGTTTGTCGCAGCCAAATCCATTTGCATTGGGCCCATATTTTGAAATAGATTGTTTCTGACACTATCCGAAATGAGTCTATCATTTTCTTCGTGGTTGGAGTTAGTCAACCAGCGTATTAAATTCTCTGAGCCGTCCATGTTGAAGAATATGTCTGGCCTCTCAAACTGAGTGTGTAGTGGCATTTCGTCGATAATAGTGTGATCTTTTGCCATAAGCCCTATGGTGGATGGAATCTGTGAATGTCCAAACCGGAATGCTGCTGTACTGAAGGCGGATGTGGTGGAAGGGTCAACGGTTGGGTCATAAACTTCACGATGACCCCGTGCTGCTGGGGTCAGTCCAAACTTTCTCATGACATCATTTCCAAGAACAAAAGGTAAATATTCAAAAAATGCAATGTGCTGAAGTTCTGCTCCAAGAATACGCCGAGCCTCCTGGAACAAACGTTCATCGTCCCAATGAGGGTTGACGAACTGGAGACCGCGTGCCAGTTTGTTATGCTCTCTGGCAAAGATGACATGAAGTGTGGTCAGTGTAGGAACTTCATGTCGACGGCCATCACCTATCAAAACCGAAAAAAACATCACTGACCTTAACAGTACACACACGACTGCATCCACTAGATATAATTATTAAACAAACTGTAAACATACATATTTAGCGGTAGTCCTCTTTTAGCTTTTTGACGCATTTTTTAAATTACACTAAATAATGAATATGCCACTCATACGTTCAATATATTCCCCTCCAGTTCAATATATTTTGTTGGTGTGCCAATTCACTTATGCCGTAATTTGCTAGTTCATTAATCCGTAAAAAAATAAGTGCACTGAAATAAGTATGTGTCTAGTTTGATGTAAACATGTTTTCGAATACATACATGTTTGATAATAATTCTTTTTAATTGTGATAATTATACCTGTAGACATTGTGCTTTTAATGCACGTTTTAGTCGTATATATATTTAAAATTTATTTAAGAAAGTTTCTTGTTTCCATTTCAATGAACCAGTGTCTCCAACGAAATTAAATCCATTTATTTATTGATCAAATTGTTGCAATATTTAGACATGTTAAATATTAATACAAGTAAAACGTGTCAAGGCTAACAAGGAAAATGTGGTTCCTACCTGGAATTTATCGCATATTCTAAAGGCTGGCTTATTTTCAAAGACGGCTTATTATCGAGATATATCTAACTGTTAGGCATTCAAGGCTTCTTTTCAATGCGCCTTTTTTGAATATCAGGCTTATAATCAATGTTTTGGCTAGTTTAACCAGACCTTCTTTTTCACTTTCGATGATTTAAATCCTAAAATACAGAAATGAGCTTTAAGAAAGTTGTCGCCCTTTGACTTCGTTTTCAATTATTACAGAATTTACATAATGTTTGCTGAAAAGTTTACCACTGGTTAGCTTAACGAACACTTCAAACAGATAAAAAAAGAAAAAATTCTCCACTATTGAAATATTGTTAATTTAGATTGGAATAGCACTGCGAACGTTGTGATTTCTTTTTTTCTCCATATTAATTAGCAGATCTGTCCCTATACCACATGTATACACTGCCTGACCACTCATTTAAAAAAACTATTTCGATCAACGTCATAAAAATGTAGTACATGTAAAAAGAAGTTTTGTAACTCTGTCTCACTGACCATAGAGTTAATCTGAATATTTCAAGCTAAAGCTCGTTTTCTTTTTTTCTATTTGACAAATAATCTTCTCAAGTTAGATCAGCATAATAAACAACAGAGAATTATTGTAGAATCTATTATATTATCAAATATGATGCATGCTATAATGTGTTTTCAATTTGTCAGTCGTTACTAATATATAACTACAGTTGTGTGACCGCACAACGCACCAAAAATAGCGTGTGCACATCGTGTATACATCGTGCACACACGGTGCGCACAACTGTGCGATTTCAAATCGTTCGCCCCGTTGTGCGCTTCTCTCCGCACCACTGTGCGATTTTGTACAATTGGTTTATCAATATTACGAATTCAAAAAAACCGGAGCCCTTGTATGGAATAAGGAGCACTGTATATATAAATTGCTCATCAAATAAATTAGGGTTATGTTTTATTTTACAATGCGTGTTACACAGCATAACATTGACCGTTAGATTGTCACAAATGGGTTTAGCTCTCAGGTAACAGAAATAACATGTTGATGAGTTTTACCTGGCCTGTGCCTGACACATAGAGCTGATATGTGATGACGTATGACCGTTATGAAAACACAACTGGACGTTCACCTGGATTTTCACACCCTGGCGAGTTACGTAAGTGCCCCGGTAGGGTAAAACTACGGCCCAGGTACAGGTACAAAGTGGCGATGTATACCTGTATACGTGACCGTTTCAATACATGTATGAGTTATTTTACATGTGTCGATTTGAGTCGTGTAAAAACACCGAACAACCATTTCTATTTCTATTAAGATAACAAGCAAATTCGTAGAATTGATATCCCCCGCTTGCATGACATATTGACGGTAAACATTATTTAGGTAAGGTTTAAGCATGTGAGTACCGTGCTGTTGAGACATAATGTATAGCTTGAAACTCGAAGAAGAAAAAACTTATACAGAAGTAAGACTTTTTATTGAACATGTTGGTATTACGGTGTAAATTATTCGTTTAATCCATCATAATTTAATACCCTCATTAATTATCCGTAAATATGCACAAATGTTTTTTGTTGGCAAACCTAACGTGCATGCGGAATCGGTTGAAATATCTGCGCAATATCTACAGCAATTATCACACGAAAACCAAAGAGTTCCATAGATTGGTGGAAAGACAGAGGAACACACACATTCTTATCAAGTTTGAAGGAATTTGGCTAATATTTGCTAGAGTTATTAAGCGGAAACTGCAGATAATGACGTTTTCTGTTAATCAAGGGGCAATACCTCCGCCAAATAAAGTCTGCTGAAAGTGGTCATCGAACTTGGCCGAGCCCTTAATGCTTTGAACCATGTTACTAAGTTTACAGACAATCGGATAATATTTGTTGCAGTTATTTTACGGAAACGGCAGATAATGACGTTTTTCGTTATTCAAGGGGCCATAACTCCGCCAAATAAAGTTCGCTGAAAATGGTTATCGAGTTTGGCTGAGCCCTTAAGGCATTTAAACGTGTTATCAAGTTTGAAGAAAATCGGTTTACATTTGTTGCAGTTATTGCACGGAAACGAAACTTGAAAGACAGACTGACAGACGGACAAAACCAAATTGATATCCCTGTTTCGGTGAAAGCGGGGGATATTAAAGATAGAAAGATCAGCTTATATATGTAGATGGAATATTGATATATACTTAAAATTCAAGTTAATATGTTAAAACACAAAGCCGTATTTATTGTTCAACCATTTCTCAATTTACACAAACCACGATTGTCCTCGAACAACGTTCGTCCATCGTCCGCATAAATGTGCGCAAGCAATAATCGTCCAGATTTTAATCGTTCGCACATCGTGCACACATCGTGCACACACCGTGCGCACATCGCGCGCACATGGCACATCATGTAACGTTGTGCGTTCCCACAACTGTACATATGTAGTTTTTATTATCCTAAGTTTTCTAACGTCACATTATTTATTTTTTTAAATATTATCATACCGTTGTTATTTAAATATTAAATAATAATAGCACCAATAACACTATATAGTGGCACACGATATTAACACTCTCTATTTTTTATTGTCCGATAAGTATAAATTGCTTTACCAGTCAGGAAACAGTGATGCCCCGGACAGGAGAGAGTGCACATATCTGAAGATCCAGCCAAGGGAAGATTTCTTGCAGTCAGTCTAAGCCTTCCTTTTTAAAGGATATAAAAAATAAAAGCATGTTAATCTCTATTTTTCCCTTTGAAACAACTTAATTTGTGAGGATTTCCTCCGCGATTTGACGCAATAATGTCTCTCATGTGGTTAACAGCGAAATATGAAATCTTGCCATGTTGAAATGCTTGCGTTTAACGTGTTTGGCAAATTAGTGTGAAAACGTCCTACCTCAATATCTATTTGTAGGTTATGCATACATTATGGTTACATAGAATATATATATTTCTGAATCAATTATCAACGCGCAAGAATATCCACTTTTAAAGAGTTGCAACATATAATCCATTTCTAAATAAACATAAAGTATTCGTTCAATCATACAAAATGTTATATGCACAGGATATGGTGATACAAGCTTATCTTTATTACCTTCCATAATAAACTACCAAATAAATGTTAAACATATTGAGTTTTTGCTTAAAGTGTTAAATCACTACGTTAATGTGTAAATGTAAAAAAACTGAGTTTGTGAAATCGTGTCTGTAAATGAACAAAATAGTTTGTGAAAACAAAACTCACTGAGAATATAGAGCGACCTACCATATCTTTTCTCACGTAAGATGTCTAGTTGCTCTGGTGTAGAGGAATATATGGTTGAGCCGTCAATGAATGACGTCAGTTGGTTTATCTGGAGCCGTGGACCTCAAAAAGTGCAATAGCAGTGTATTATTTGTTTTATTTAATTTCATTTAACCTCTTCAACCTCACATTTGCTTGATTCACTGCTGAACTAATTAAGACGTCTAATGACAATAATTGCTATCAGGTAAGACGCTGATGACTGCATATATTACAGATAGTACATTGATTATGGTTTAAATTCCGTAGTCCTTGCCATATATTACAGATGGTACATTGATTAGGGTTTAAATTCCATAGTCCTTGCCATATACTACAGATGGTACATTGAATAGGGTTTAAATTCCATAGTCCTTGCCATATATTACAGATGGTTCATTGATTAGGGTTTACATTTCATAGTACTTGCCATATATTACAGATGGTACATTGATTAGGGTTTAAATTCCATAGTCATTGCTACATATTTGAACAAAATTATCGAAATATTTAAAATTGCTATCACTTCTCCTTACAGATATGTAAGAAAAAGCAGTTTTGTAATGAAAGTGCTTTTTACATCAGCACAACGCAAACGTTTTAAGAAAAAAAGGAGAAAATCCTGTTCGAAAGTTTGAAATCTTCAGATGATCACTGTTTACCTGGAGTATTCTCCCTTCTATATATAAAATGAAGCAACCAAAAGAAGTGTTTCTAGCTTAGAGTTAATGTTTTCGGCCCACCAATTTGACACGCACTTGGTTGCCGTGCTGGTATAATTGGTAAAATGTGGTCTTTGTAATTTATAGGTTCTGAGTTCGATTCCTGTATTTCTCTTTTCATTTCCATTTTGTTTTCTTTTTTAATTCTTTTTACAATCATTTTATCTTTCAACAATTACAATTTCATTAGATGCATGTTTTTTTGTGATTTTTAATGAATGTTTGTTTTGATAGTGATTGAAACAAATATTTCACAATAGTGACAATATTCAGGATATAGTTCAGCATGTTGGCACCCTTTAACTAAAAGTATAGGTTTGATGCAGGTTTGCTAGTATTTACAGTCTTGATATTGTATTTCTTGTGCCTTAAAGGTTAATTTGATCTAATGTACCCTGGAATAAATATCTGAATAATAAAGATATAACAACAAATATCATTTCTAATTTGAACCCTGAACTATTTAACAATGTTTAGATATCCATGGGCTTGTAAAAACAAATGCTCTTACATAAAAGAAACGTTTATCAGCATATCATTGATCATCGTTGCAATCAATAATTACTTGTTTGGCAGTATCGCTTAAAAATTTGCTGTTAGGAAAACTTCGTAGAGTAACAAAATAGACTAAATTTATAATTGTGGAATGGATTTCCACAATTATAAATTTAGTCTATTTTGTTACTCTACGAAGTTTTCCTAACAGCAAATTTTTAAGCGATACTGCCAAACAAGTACTCAACGAAGTTACATATCTTTATATTTAAGTCTAGACTTAAATATAAATATAAATTAAAATCCTCCTATACATACTTGGATCACATTGGAAGGAAGGAGTGGCTGCAGAGCGGGCAAAGTTTTTACAAACGTGGAACACAGGATCATTTGGAGGCACGGGAATTGGAAAACAGCGTGAGCTGAAAATAAATACACCATAGTATGGCAATAGGTAGAACTTTAATCAAGATTTTGTAGCAGCGATTATTGTTCGTTACGAAAATCAGAACGTAATATGATTTGTAAAACATTTATTAATTGCTCTTAACTATGTGAAGGTTTTTATGCTTAAAAGTTATGAAATACAGACGTTAAAACCTTTCTCTGAATGTATTTTCTGAAAGGTACCGACCCTCTTAACTTCGCTCTTTTTTCTTATCAATAGGAACATTTTCACATTTCTTAAATACATACATTTGATATTCATCGGAAGAGTTCACTTACTCATGTAAACCACCAGCTCGACAGCATTCTAGATTTTTTCCATCTTTGTCTTTAAAAGATATAAAATCGCACTAATTATATCAAAAAATTGTAAATAAGCAAAACCAAATTTACCCGTTGTTACAATTTTATTGATTTGTTTAAAGAATATGTGATGAAATGTCCATTGTTTGTTTCATTTAGTGCTTATTTTGTTACTGTGTTTAGTTCATAAAAAAGGTAAAGGATCCCCTTACTCCTGCCAAATACTGTAAATATGCATTGTTTATTTTTCCCGGCATTACTTTTAATTGGATGAAAGATTTCCGAAAAGATAACCTCACCTTGTGAAACCTTTATAAAAAAAACATTTGCGTGAGAAGAATATCAACAACAGTGGTCCGATTTTAAAACGCAAGAACAGGTTGCGAACCCTGGATATGCGATCAGTTAAAATTGTGTACCGTCACTTTCACCAGGTTAGCTGTACCTGGTCAATGATAGTACCGTTTCCCAGTCAAGCTTCAGATATATCCAAAACGAAATTAAGTCGGGGTTACGTTATGTACAAAAACTACAATGGAACTCTGTTAAGATTTCCTGCAGTGGAACAGGCATCCTTTAGCAAATACTGCACATGTTATTATGAATATATAACCAACAATGTGCATAATCATGACAGATTCTTACCTTGCAAAACAGGAGTCAGTGAGATGTCATGATCCAAAAATTGTCCGTAAGCAAAGAACATGTTTGTGTTTCTCTTGTTGAGGACTGGTGATCGGCCTGTGTTGCTATGAAACACGTTGCTGATCAGTCGCGGGTTAGGTAGGTATCCTCCAGTAACTGACCTCATTCGCGGCAAATTTAAACCTGAAACATGTAATTATGTAGTAGTACCGTTTCGTATGATATCTTGAGATCGTTCTTTCTTTCTTGGTGAGAATATGAGACGGCAACAATATTTGGGCGGTCGGATGGATAATACATCGCTTTTCACAAAGACAGCAAAGCGTTTTTCGGTTAGATGTGATATGGTTCGATCACATGATTTTTTCTGGGATCTCCGATTGACTCCCACAAAACTTGGATCTAGAATTTTTGCCAACTTGAGTAATAACTAAAGTTGATATATTACGTGTTCGTAATTGCTGAAAAAAAGACGTGTTTTTTTTTTTTTTTAAACAAATGTATTCGACCACAAGGAGATTGAAGAAAGGGAAAAGACATTAAAAATACTATGGTGCGGGTTTTTTTGTCTTGCTTTTCTTACCGTCATCGTAGAAGGGTTGGATTACCCGCCCCTGGGCTATCATCCTACTGCCCAACAAAGGGGAACCCAGATTATTGCACGTGCCATCAACTGTCCTATATGGCGTTAGCGGATCACACATGACCTCTCGCTTGGAACAAACTGGAGCGATTCGTGTCCTCCATTCCATCAGTAATATAGGATGTTTAAGAATTACAGTCCAGGAGAGGCCCGTTCTAATGAGAAAGAAGAAAATAAAGATCATCAGGTGATCTGTTTAGATACGGTTTATGAATCAGCAACGGGTAAAAGGAATAATAAGGACATCACGATGCTCAATATACTATTTTGGCTTGAGTATCACTTTTGATTGAACTATATATACTTCATATCATCACATCCTTTAAAGTGTCAGAGTATACAGAATTTACCCCTGTTCCTACACAGATTTCATTACTCATTAAGTTTGTCAATGTGACATTAACTTCCCCAAGCCTTTAAACATGGAGACGGAGTTTATTCTTAATTCAGACCTGACATGTTGGTCCTGACTCAGCAATTGCATTCTTGATAATTCATCTTTAAAATTGAGTGAAGTTTGCATTAATAATTACAAAAACTCACCGTTAATGAGTCATTGGTCGATAATTGCTTTGAGCAAGTGGCTCAGCATTACTTATGTATGCTTGTTATTCATTTCAAAATTCAATGCATATATACTATTGAAATATCATTCTTGATCAACTTGATAAACTAATATCATTTACACAATGACATGTATCAAAAATGATATTTGTTACAGTGTGAAAGTATTACTTTTAGTATTCGACAACCAGATAGGTACTTTTCTGCATTACTGGTGAAATATTAATACGTGAAATTTAACGAGAAACCATCAATATTCATCAACTGATAAATAACTATTGCATGTATCTTGTTATATAACATTAAATGTTTGTGAATCACAAATAAAATGTATGCATCTTCTTATGACCTTGGACTTGGTATGAGTAATATATGGCCTTGAGCTGGTGATACATCACTTATACCATCAACGAACTTTAGTTGGTTGTGAGTGATGTGGGAGGCGGAGCTGTTCTGGACCACGTGATGACGTTATCTGGAAACTATTCATTCATTTATGTGTTTGAATAATGGAGTAGGCGGGCTTCATAAGCTTTCAGTTAATATGATATATTATTTCATGAAGGAAGCCATTTACATATGTTGTAACCATGAACGTTAAAGCAGTTGAGATGTTTCGAAATCATTTGAACGTTTGCATTGCATGTGCAATTAAAAAAAGGGTATGATAATATACATTAGCAAAGTCTAATTCTTACTAAGAACTTGATTCTGAAATGTAAACCCTAAGTATAGATGGATATTTTTATAAATGTCTTGAAGTTATTTTAACCCTAGTCCTCACTTTGAGGGTTTGACATTGCTTGAATTTGACCGATATATATCCATGTCGGTTGGCGTCGATGAACCAGAAACGTGTACCTTTTAAGAATACCTGGTTCTATGTTCATCGCTTTATTATTTCAATGGTCTCCTTATAAATCAGATCGTCTTGTTCATATTTTGTCCAAATTGTATTAACTTTCAGTTTAAATTACGTTTATTTTGAGGCATTGATACAGTCTTTTTAAATCAACTAGCCAGCCATTTTAAATTTGTAAAACGAAAATACTTGTGATAAAATTGTTTGAAATACAAGATAATAAACGGGACCCATGCTTTATTCAAATCTATGTAGAGTGCATTCATATACGTTTGACGGGGTTAAAAGAACTGGATACAAAACAAACTAATTACTCATCTGTGTGCAAGCGTTTTTGTACGAAGGTGCGTCAATACCAATATGTTAAGAACAATTTTCGTGACGTTGACAAACAAGGTAATCAACCTTCTGTGTGTAAGTTTTTTGCAGAAAGTGCATGATAATGTGACCTTTACAAAAAAAACGTTCATTTCTACATTTAAATATTTAATTTGGCTTCAGGTATTCATTTCAAAAGTGGAAATTAGACAAAAGACAAAAGATATACCAAAACCATAATTGAAAACCAAGGTGTTAAGTTTGTTTGTTTTGGTTCTTCTTATTTATGTCTTAAATCGATACTTAACGTAATTAAAACAAGAAATACTAAATAAACGGCGCCTTTCTTGTTTTTTCTTTGTATAACGGTACAATAATAAAGTATTTAAGCTCAAAACTGTATGCGAACAACAAACACAACAACATTAGAAGATTTTTTCTGGTACTTATACTATGTCACATGCTACAGTCAAATTTAACATTTAAGATATTATATTATTAAATTGGTATAATTTGTCTGTCTCTTATTTCATGCTCTGGCTACCCCTTGTTTACCCTCTCATATATTTGTAAGTGTCAGTCAGTTTATTGAACTTATAGTTTGTTTTGTCTGTTATTCTGTTACTAATACAACAGTAACGATAATTTCTTAATAACAAACAAATCTTAACCCACTGCGTCTAAGCTTTCAAAATATGAGCCAACCCTGGCGCAGCTGAGTTGAGATGACCTTAAATTAAGTCTTGTTCTATATATATACATGTATTAGATGATCGCGATGGCCGAGTTGCTAAGGCGTCAGACCGTTACAATCACTAGTCTTCCATCACTGGGTCGCCGGTTCGAGGCAAACATGAGGCAGTTGCCACATACTGTCGGTGGAATTTCTCTGGGTACTCCGGCTCCCCTCCACCACCAAAACATGGAACGTCCTTAATTGACCTTAGCTGTTAAAAGTATGCAAAAACAAAACAAACCAAACCAAAAATCTCTACTATTACTATTATTGCCGAGGTGGCAACGTAGCAACCTGTGATATAAATGCCATTCATTACGTTCAGTTTTGAGAGCAATGCATGGAAGGTCCAAAGTATCGTGATACTCTAACCATCGAAGGGCATATACAGGTCCAGACATTCACAATGCAGTATGATGTATCACGACTAGGTTGCATAGAGAATCCTGATGATATGAAGTATGATTTATGCTCAAAACATCACAACGTATGTGGCATTTCTGGTTTACGCTACATGCATTTCTAACAAAAAAAAGTCCTCAACTTACCAACTGATATATGCTTAGCATACACCAAGGAATCTTGCACTATTTAAGGAATGATTTTTATTTTTTCAACATTTATGAGGTCATAACAACAATGGGTTTATGGACATATTGAATGAATCGCGTTAGCGATTCATGTAAAATATGTCCAAAAACCCATTGTTGTTATGACCTCATAAATGTTGAAAAAATAAATATCATTCCTTATATTTACATTGACGAATCCTTTCAGTGGATCGATATAACAACGAATAAAACAAATAAACAGGGTTTGTTCCTGCTTATACACGGGTGCAACGCAGTGGCGAGAACAGTGTTTTTTCGCGGGGAAATGTGACACTATCGTGAGAGATCTTAGCAACCGTCAACAACAATAACACAACAAAATGTAGTTCCATATTCAATGTTTATTTGTAGCACAGGACACGTGAATACGTGGATATTTCACAAAGCACAGTTCAATAATATTTTAAGATGTAAGAATTAAGCATCTAGGTCGGTCGTTCCGAGTGAGTAGTTTGTGTAGTGTATTACTACGCAGTGTGATCAGGTTACTATCAGTTCCCACGTGCTGATATTCTGTGAACACCTGTGGTATGCATTTATGAATGTTATTTTTGTCAATGGGTCTAAGCATACAGAATGTAAATATTTGTCAGTTAACAGAATTATTAACTGTCAATCTGTTTTAGAGTATTCAGATTTAACCTTTTAACAAAAGTCATCTTAGACTTGATAAGGTGGTCTGGTGGTGCAGTGGATAACGCACTCGCCTTTCATCAGGTGGCCGTGGTTCCCCGATCGGACTTAAAAAGGTATTGGGTCATCGTGGGTTTTCACCGGGTTTTCCGGTTTCCTACCACGTTAAGACACCCAGTGCGTTAACATCCGGGCCAACAAATGTGGCTGATATAATTTGAAATATCTTTGTTATTTGTTTTTGTAAAATAAATAGGGATATATACATGATACTGCGCAATCATCAATCAACCAACTACTTTGCCCCTTTGTAATATAAAGATCATTAATTGTAGTTATGTACCTGCTTGAAATAGCCTAAACGACAATGTACCTTAAGGTCTCATGAATGATGTGCTTTTGTTTACTGTATACACATTATCAGTGCATGATATATTACATAACAGATGACAGATAGTGATAAATGTTCAGCAGTCTAATGCACGAGATCGCGGTCAAAATAACAAATATGCAAAGAATATAGCGTCAGTTTGAACAACCTTGCATATTTTTACCGGGATATTGTGTAATTTACAACTACGAAATGTTTCATTTGCGACCTTCAATTTATTTCTATATTCATATTTTTTTACATAAAAACGTATTAAATATATTTCCAAGAAATATATATTTAAGGAAGGTGACATATGACAATGCTATGGCGTACTTTAAAAATACAAATTGTATTTATTTACGATGTGTTAAGGATCCCTGTCTCACAGTTTCAGACTGTTACAATAAATTTGATACTTTTTTACCTGCATGATAATATCTTCAAGAAATAATTTCTGAGAAGAACTTCATACCAAAATGAAACCAATTAGATAAGGAACTTGTTTTGAAAATGATATGATTGAAAACAAACATAAAAATCACTGTAAGGAGAGTGAAAAATGCCTAACAGGATTCGAACCCTGGACCATTGATCGATAATCGGTCCTCCTTAACAACTGATCTACATAGTCAGTGGTAGTTAGCTAACTCAATCCTGTAACAGCTGTTACTTGAACGACCATAATGAGGAGAATTCTTTGTTTGAAAAACAACAGAGAAATTATCCAGTGTTTGTCAATAGTGGGAGAGGGGTCCTGAACTCAACATATATTTTCAGTAGTAGTGGAACCTAGAACCTTAACTCAACATACACCTTCAGTATTAGTGGGACAGGGATCCTTAACTCAACATATGCATTCCATAGTAGTGTGACAGGGATCCTTAACTCAACATATACCTTCAGTATTAGTGGGACAGGGATCCTTAACTCAACATATGCATTCCATAGTAGTGGGACAGGGGTCCTTAACTCAACATATGCATTCCATAGTAGTGGGACAGGGGTCCTTAACTCGACATATACCTTCAGTATTAGTGTGACAGGGATCCTTAACTCAACATATGCATTCCATAGTAGTGGGACAGGGGTCCTTAACTCAACATATGCATTCCATAGTAGTGGAACAGAGATCCTTAACTCAACATATACCTTCAGTAGTAGTTGAACAGAGATCCTTAACTCAACATATACTCACATTAGTAGTGTGACAAGGATCCTAAATTCAACATATACCTTCAGTAGTAGTGTGACAGGGATCCTTAACTCAACATACACCTTCAGTAGCAGTGGAACAGACACCTTAACTCAACATACACCTTCAGTATTAGTGTGACAGGGATCCTAAACTCAACATATATCTTCAGTAGTAGTGGCACATGGATCCTTAACTCAACATATATCTTCAGGCTAGATACGTTAAGATTAGATATTTATTTTCTTAATATCACATATATCACACGTACATATCTATCTGAAGTAATATAAATGTCATCAGTCGCTCTGGTTTGCTTGTTTAGTATACATTGAGCAATCTGGATTTTGACAGTTGGGATCGGATGGGTTTAGCAGTGAGTTTTACAATTTTTTTTGGAAAGATTTGAAATATTTTGTATATAAATCTATAAATTATGCATATACTCATGGCTCATTATCAGAATTTCAAAACCAGGGAATTATAACATGTATTCCAAAAGAATCCAAAGACAGAAGATTTATAAAAAACTGGAGACCTTTAACTTTACTTAATACTGACTATAAACTTGCTTCTTCTGCTATAGAAAACCGGTTAAAAACAGTACTGCCTTCAATTATAAATGATACACAGAAAGGCTTTATGAGGAATAGATTTATTGGAGAAAATACAAAATTAGTATATGATATAATGCATGAATTAGAAGAAAAAAATATGTCTGGTTTGTTGCTACTTGTTGATTTTGAAAAAGCCTTTGACTCGATAGAATGGAGTTTTATTCATAGGTCTTTAAAATCTTTCAATTTTGGTGAATCTTTGATTAAATGGATACATATTTTCTATCATAATGCAAAAAGCAGAATAATTAATAATGGGTATTTTTCATCATTTTTGGATGTAAAACGTGGATGTAGACAAGGGGATCCCATCTCCCCATATCTATTCCTGATAGGTGTTGAAATTTTGGCTATACAATTGAAAAAAAATCAAAGTATCAAAGGTGTACAAATAAATAATAGAGAATATTTGCTTGGTCAATATGCAGATGATGCCTTTTTATTCCTAGATGGTTCTTCAAAGTCATTGTCAAGTACTATAAATGACTTCAGTATATTTTCTACAGTATCTGGACTTAAACTTAACATAGATAAGTGTCGATTGATATGGATCGGAAACAAGAAATACTCAGAAGAGATTTTATGCCCTGAACATAAATTTGATTGGTCTTCAAAAAACTTCAAACTTCTTGGAATTAATTTTTCTTT